TTGGACAAAAGCCAGCTAAGATTTCTGTAATCTTGCATGCTTTATGAATCTATTCACGTCTAAATGCAGAACTTTTTTTTTTTTGCGATGAAGCATGTATTTTTATACTAAAATATCTGAATTACTTTGAATAAAACTGGAAATTATGTCCCTTAAAATAATTAAACAAATAAGGCACCAATGTTTTTGTAAGATATTTACATCTTTTAAGGACATTCGGTAGACTGATTCCCCACTGTTGGTTCAACCCCAAAACTTGTTTGTATTCAAAATTAATTATGACAATGCATAATTATATTGAAACAAACTGTGATAAAGGGAATTATATTATATAACAAAGGGCAAGGTCACCAGAGTTCAACTATGTTTTTTTTTAATCAATTGGTCACCATTGAAGAATTAAATAAACTATTTAACTTCATTAAATAAAATTTGTGCGCAGTCAAATATTTTAGCCAAAACAACAAAAATATCACTATTTTTGAAAAACATCAGAAGCACTTTTTTTTTTATGTGCGGCTCAATATGCTATTTGTCTTTAAATACTGACTACCATGTAGTATACTAGTTTTCTGATATTAAAAATGAAAAACGTTTTTTCTAATCAAGCAATGAGCACCCTCTAGTGTTAGTGATATTTGTGCTTTTGTTTATTTTGTTCACTGATTTTTCAATACAGGTTGTCACAGTGTAGCAAAGCTCTTCATGTTCTTGACTTCACCTTAATTCTGTTGAACCGTTATATAATAAATAATAAGGTTAAACTTACTTTATATATATAATCACTGATGTAGTATATTATGATGTTATTACGAGAATACTGTAAAGTATGAACGAAGACAGTACAGTGGGATTATCGACCGACGCGCAACGGAGGTCGATGTGACGCTGTATTCTCTGGCTGTATACTTTTCGGCATCCTCGTAATAACCTTATTATTATACATCTTTTTATCCTAAGGATACATTATGGGAATGCCAAAATTGAAAAAGTTTAGAACAGATTAATTTATTTAACTTTATGTCGAGCTCGTTGAAACCCCCAAACATGTTTGTTTTTATTATTAGAAGATGCTCACACACGTAACTGCTTCATATTTGAAATTTGAATATTGTAGCATGAAAATACCTCAAAATTACGACATGCTGTAACTTGTGGCGTTACAGTGACAGATGTATAATAATAGTTTATATTATCACTTATACTAACTAAATAATATTTACCAATTTGATATTATTCATTTCCTGACAAATTATAGAATTATGTGAAATTTACAATAATATCACTTTCAATTTCATTGACCCTTTGAATGCCAGTTAAAGTGTATTTTTGTCACTTTTTCACAAATCAAACTTTTTTCATATTATTCGAATACAATTTTCATCAAGACTCGGTATGTAATAAATAGTTAAGTTCATTTGGTTCAAAATTAACCTTTTCACCATCAGTTCCCTCTTTTCGTCACAAATTCACAAAATAGTTCTACATCAGCGGATTATGACAAAAAAGTCAAAGTTTTTGTCTGTTGGCTCCAAAATTAGGATTCATTTCCAGAAATTTTGAAAAAATATAAGAAACAAAAGTGCAGAAAAGTCTGGTGGTAAAAAGGTCAACAAAGAAAGTATTGAAAAAACATACAATGTGCAAAAATGTTGCCGGGAAAAATTAGCATTCAAAATGTTCCCATCTTCATCTGATCTTTTCTAAAGGTAGTATTTCACCATTTTCCATGTCTTGGAGTAATTTTCATCATTGTGTAAAACTTGTTCATGACTGAATCATTTTTCATAAAGAATCTGCTTTAAATCCAGTTTAAGTCAGCATATCAAATTGCAATTTATTACGTGTTTTGAATTGCCTTCCTAAATATTTTTCTTAATTTTCATAATATTTTGGACCCAAGTACATTAAATGATTTAATGCAAAGGCAAAACCCAAAACAACTCCATTTTGTCACCTAATTCCCCTAGCGAAAAGAAATTTACACTCAACTACTGTCAAATACTTTTCGCTTGGAATTAATTTTCGCTATTTTTGCTGAAGGAAAGATTCAGTGAAAATAAAATCTAGCAAATATGCATTTTTTCCTATATTTTACATTCAACTTGTCAAAAATCAGCGAAAATAAATTCCATAGAAAACACTTGAAATGTCTTTACAGCAAAAATTAATTCCAGCGAAAATAAAGTATTCTACAGTATGTGAGAAACTTGAATGATATTTTTATGAATTGCTAAAAAAATACTTTGATATAAAGCTTAATTAAGCAGAATTTAGTCATGAACTTGTTTGTTGGTTTCACTTATTAAAATCATCAATAAGTAATGGTGTTCATACTGATGATCTTCATTGTGCATTATTTTTCTATTCCATTGCATGCACGCATTAATACTACAACAGTGATAAAGACAGGTAGCGTTTCAGAAAAAAAAATCACTCTTTAAATTGTCATTCTTTTTTCAGGTTATTAAGGGTAACAGTTGTGCATGGGATGAACTAATTAACATTTTGGATCCGATTCTGCATGATTTTTCCTCTGAGGTTGTAAAACCACCCTTTGTATGCTTCAATACTAACTGAATGTTTTTGTCATTCTGTGTAACTATAAAATCTCTGTTTATTCATGTACCTTCATGCAACAGCTCTAACTCTTTACAAAATCAAACATCGAAAACACCTCCCCTTTTGAAAAAGCGTACCCAAGCAGACATTTCTTCTTTCCCTCTAATTTAATCCTTCCTACCCCATGCCCAGGAAATGAATTGATCCTTTTTAAGAACAATTGGTTTATTCCATTTATATGAGGGGTGTTTAATAAGTCAGTGATGTACTTGCACTTTCTTCTGTATTGCTGGAATTAATTTTCAATTGAATTTCATGATATTAATGTGACATGATATTTATTTAGTTGATATTGATCAATTTCTTAATTGATATTAAATTGGAAAATGCAGGTATAAGACCAAAATTTTTATTCTCATACAGTTTTATTTATTTTTTGAGCTTTGGTATGCATTTCCTGATATGAACTCTGAACTTATTCAAATTAACTTTATGCACGAGAGATTATGCATGAATACGAAAACATTATTTTTAGAAAATTGTTATAATCCATATACATGCGTTAAACGATTTGGGTGTGGTGTTGGAATTATAATCGGTCAATCCAGGCACGTTTGTAAATCCTACAGAGACGCAGACTACAATATTACAAGTTTGAGAGTGCATGTGCATCTAGATTTTATTTTAGAGTGAACCAAAACAAAAATTATACTTCTATCAAATTTTCTGAGCACAAATGTATTATTTTTGGATCGTTTGAGTGTTTTTATTTCACTAATTTTATAAATGTCAGAATTTATATACTCTTCATGGTTTTATTCACTATATTAATTTATTTCACTGACTTAGAGGAGCTTAATTATGTTTTGTATACAAAAAATACCAATTAAATATTGAATTGAAAAATATAGTTATGTGTACCCTTTATTTTAAATGATAATCAGGCATACATTGATTTTTGAAATTGATTTTATTTATTCCATAGTCAGAAATTATACTAATACCATCTGCTCATTATTACTGTTAATATGCAAATGTATTCACCAAATTTACATATAAATGAACAAGCCTCCCTAAGTCAGTGAAATAAATTTCCGAAAAATCTCATTTTCAAAATTCCTCAGAAAATTTGTTAGCTTTATGATCTTTATGAGATAGTTCGCAATAATTTACGTTTGTAATTGTCTTTTTTATTCTCTCATAATCAGGAAACTTAGACAAGAACTGCAAGAATTGCGTAAAAAGGGAGCAATAAAAGCAGATACTGACAACTCAGGGAAAAAGTGTGCAAGATGTCGGGAGTCATTAGGGTGGTTCATCAATGCAGGCGAACTGTGTCCTAAGTGCCAACACAAAGTATGCAAAAAGTGTCAAGTTTTACAGACATCAGGGAGGAGAAAATGGCTGTGCCTTGTATGTAATAAACAAATGTAAGTAAATGTATGGAGCATCTTTACACCAGTAACCCCCTTTTCTTCCAGTGATAGTTGGCCCCCAGTCTTTGTAACCAGGAAACTAGTGTTAGTCCCCCCCCCCCCCATTGATTGTTAGCACTCTCCAAATTAAACACACGTTAACCTGCCGTGTTGATTTGTAGCTCCATACCAAGATCAATAGTGAAAAAAGGGTGTTGTCTTTGATGAAACTTTGACATTCTTTAATTTGTGTGAAATTGAAAACGACTGCTAGGGGTGCATTTTAATTCTGACTTTGGAATAAAATTGGGAATAAAATTCTTCCATACACTGTGATTAAAATGAAGGGATGGAATTCTACATTTGAATAAAACTGTTGCGTTAAACTTCAAGAAGAGAAGTCATAGCTTTGGATGAACCTAAAAAAAAGTTTTAAAACTAGTGACAAAATGCAGGGGTCTTTACCACGAAGGCTTCAAGTCTCTGAATTTTTGTAACTTTGACTTTGATTTTATGTTCTTGTCTAATCTGAAAGGGAAATCAAAGCCAGGACTGGTGAATGGTTTTATGAGAAGATTCCACAAGTCAATAATGCGAAGTTAGTCGGCACTGATCTAGTTCGTGCTTCCATGCGAAGTGGCCCGCCATCAAGAGGTAAATACGTTTCATTTTCAAATTGAGCAATGAATTGTGAAAATCTTTGTAGGACAGACAGTTTAAAGGGACAGCTTTCTATCCTTTAGATTGTATCAGGGAATTGTGGGTCAACAATTCTTGGTTGTTGATAATACAAATGACTGTTAACAGATGAAGTGCCACAGTCATGTGTGCATGTTTATCGAGAATATCTACCCACAATGCATTGTGATTTCGTTTTTAAAGACCTAATAGTGACAGGTAAGGTAGTGAGAGAGATTTGAGCTTAATGAGCAAAATTGAAGCAGCACTTCAAATCAAGACATCACCTTGCAACTAAAAATGTTTATAAGGTATTTGTGGCTGACAAAAAGCAAGTGGCTTATAGCCCATTTCTAATTTATTTCAGCTTCACAAAAGCAATTTTA